AGTGTTCATTGCAATTTCAGTGTCTTTGCTTCCTAGACCTTTCAGCGAAGTTTATGTATATGTAAACTTATACATACAGATACATATACATGTTGTATATGCACATAAGCGTGAATATATACATACCCATACATATTAGAACTTATGAGTTTATGTTGATACCTTTGATTTCAATCCATCCCCAAGGGTTCTTTCTTGTCTCCCCGTTTCATATTTCTGGAAGTGTAATTTCTGGAAGTGTAATTCTGGGTCCCCTTTTCCATAATGAAAAACCCTGTGTCCACACCACATCAAAGCATTTACTCATTTGCTCAGTCTTTTTTTTTTTTTTAAGAGTTTATTTATTTATTTGTCAGAGAGAGCAAGCACGCACAAGCCAGAGGAATGGCAGCAGAGGGAGAATCAGGCTCCCCGCTGAGCGAGGAACTCGATCCCAGGACCCTGGGATCATGACCTGAACCGAAGGCAGACACTTGACCGACTGAGCCACCCATGCGTCCCTCATTTGCTCAGTCTTGAACTAATCTAAAATAATTTCAGAATTGCTTTACCCATGCTACAATAATAAATGAAATTACCTTAGAAATTTAAGATTTGTTTGCACTTCTTCCCCAATTATATCCTGCCATATCCCAGAGACTGCATAGTCAAAACTAATTTAGTTTACTTAGATTAAATAATCTTAGCCCATTTATTAGATTAGTTCTTCTTTCCTTCCCACCCCAACCCGCTTCAGTATGCTTACTGTATTCCTTCAGAATGTAAGTAAAGTTCATTTGGTTCCAGGTGGGGTATTTTTTTCATCAATAAAATTTAATTTTTTGAATATGTAAAACGTTAATATGTTTTCAAAAGTCAAAACTATGCCAAAAGTTTCACTCAGAGAAATGCCATTCCTTCTGTGCCCCTACCACCCCATTTCCCCTACCCCATCCTTCGTAGGAAACAACTTTTTGTTTTTTGTTTTTTTCCTTCCTGTGTTTCTTCTTTTACTGATGAGCAGATATATGCATGTTTTCTTATTTTCCCTTCTTTCTCACAAAAAAGATAGCATACTATATATGCTCCTTTGCACTTTGCTGTTTTTACTTAATATCCCCTGGAAATGACTCCATATCAGTGAATAGAGATCTCCTTATTTGTTTGTATAGCTGCATAGAGTCCCACTGTGTGTATATAACCATAGTATATTAACCAATTTCCCGTAGTTGAACATTTAGATAGTTCTCAGTTTTTGCAATTACAAATAATCCTGCAGTGAGTAACCACGTCATATATGTTTTCAGATTGTTGGAGGTGTATATTATGGATAAATTCATAGAAGTGTGATTGTGGGGTCAAAGGGCAAGTGTATATTGTTAAATTCCCCTCCACCAGACCTGGGCCATTTGCATTCCCACCCCAACTCCCCATAGTGTGACTAATGGAGTGTATCGTCAGCCTCTGCATTTTTGGCGATCTGATGGGTGAGAAATGTTTTCACACTGTAGTTTTAAATTGCATTTACCTTGGAGCACCTGGGTAGCTCAGTTGGTTAAGCATCTGACCCTTGATTTACACTCAGGTCATGATCTCAGGGTTGTGAGATTGAGCCCCACATCATGCTCCACACTCAGCGTGGAGCTGCTTAAGATTCTCTCTCTCCCTTGCCCTCTGCCCCTCCCCCACCTCTAAAAAATAAATAAATAAACTTTTTTAAAAAATTAAAAATTGCATTTATCTTATGAATAAAGTTGAACATCTTTTCATTTGTTTAGGGGATGTTTTTCTCTTTTTTCAAGATTTTATTTATTTATTTGAGAGAGAGCATGAGCAGGGGGAGGGGCAGAGGGAGAAGCAGACTCCCCACCGATCAGGGAGCCCGACTCGGGGCTGAATCCCGGGACCCTGATAGCATGACCTGAGCCAAAGTCAGACGCTTAACCAACTGAGCCATCCAGGCACCCCTCGTTTGTTTTATTTCTTAAATTCCATATACAAATGAAATCATGTGGTGTTTGTCTTTCTCTGACTGACTTATTTCTCTTAGCATTATACTGTCTACCTCCATCCATGTTTTTGCAAATGGCAAGATTTCATTCTTTTTATGGCTGAATGAGTTTCCATTCCATGTGAGATATATATATATATGTCTATATATATATATCTCACATCTTCTTTATCCATTCATCTATCAATGGATGCTTGGGCTGCTTCCGTTATAAATAACGCTGCAATAAACATCAGGGTGCATATATCCCTTTGAGTTAGTGTTTTTGTATTTTTGGGGTAAATACCCAGTAAGGTGATTACTGAATCATAAGGTTATAGGGTAGCTCTATTTTTAACTTTCTGAGGAGCCTCCATACTGTTTTCCACAGTGGCTGCACCAATTTGCATTCCCAGCAACAGTGCATGAGTGTTCCTTTTTCTCCACATCCTCACCATCACTTACGATTCTTGTATTGTTGATTTTAGCCATCTGACAGGAATGAAGTGATATTTCATTGTGGTTTTGATTTGCATTTCCCTGATGATGAGTGATACTGAGCATCTTCATGTGTCTGTTAGCCATCTGGATGTCTCTTCTGGAGAAATATCTGTTCATGTCTTCTGCCCATTTTAATTGGATTATTCATATTTTGGGTGTTGAGTTTTATACATTCTTTATATATTTCGGATACTAACCCTTTTTCTGTATGTCATTTACAAATATCTTCTCCCATTCTGTAAGTTGCCTTTTAGTTTTGTTGATTGTTTCCTTCACCATGCAGAAGCTTTTTATTTTGATGTAGTCCTAATAGTTTATTTTTGTTTTTGTTTCCCTTACCTCAGGAGACAAATCTATAAAAAGATCATAATAGCTGATGTCAGAGAAATTATTGCCTGTGCTCTCTTCTAGGATTTTTATGGTTTCGGGTCTCACATTTAGGTCTTTAATCCATTTTGAGTTTATTTTTGTGTATGGTGTAAGAAAGAGGTCCGGTTTCATTGTTTTACAAGGAGCTGTCCAGTTTTCCCAACACCATTTGTTGAAGAGACTCTCCTTTTCCCATTGCATATTCTTTCCTCCTTTGTCAAAAATTAATTGGCCATATAATTGTGGGTTTATTTCTGGGTTTTCTGTTCTGTTCCATTGATCTATGTGTCTATTTTTGTGCCAGTATCATACCATTTTGATTACTTTAGCTTTGCGATATTCCCAGTTTTGTTTTTCAAGATTGCTTTGACTATTCAGGGTCTTTCATGATTCCATACAAATTTTAGGATTGTTAATTCTAGTTCTGTAAAAAATGCTGTTGGTATTTTGATAGGGATTGCATTAAATGTGTAGATTGCTTTGGATAGTATAGACATTTTAACAATATTTGTTCTTCCAATCCATGAATATGGAAGGTCTTTCCATTTTTGGGGGTCATCTTCAATTTCTTTCATCAGTGTTTTATGGTTTTCAGAGTATAGGTTTTTCACCTCTTTGGTTAGGTTCATTCCCAGGTATCTTACTGGTTTTGGCACAATTGTAAATGAGATTGATTCCTTAATTTCTCTTTTTGCTGCTTCGTTATTAATGTATAGAAATGCAACAGGGGTGCTTGGGTGGCTCTTGATCTCAGCTCAGGTCTCAGTCTCAGGGTCGTGAGTTCAAGCTCTGCATTGGGCTCCACACCCAGTGTGGCACCTACATTTAAAAAAAAAATGCAGTAGATTTCTATACATTGATTTTGCATCCTGTAACTACTGAATTCATTCCATTTCCTGAAATTTTTAAAGCTCTTTATAAACTTGGTATATTAGCTCTTTATCTGTAATATGTACTGTTAATATTTTCTCCCAGTTTTTTGGTCATGCAAAAGCATTTTATTATCATATAGTCAAATATATCAGTTTTTTTCTTTTATTGCCTCTGGATTTTGAGGCATAGTTTTTTTGTTTGTTTGTTTTTTAAAAATTTATTTATTTGAGAAAGAGAGAGAGAGAGCACAAGTGGGGGAAGAGGCTGAGGGAAAGGGAGAAGCAGGTTCCCCGCTGAGCAGGGAGCCCAGTGTGGGGCTCGATCCCAGGACCCCAAGATCATGACCTGAGCCGAAGGCAGACGCTTAACCCACTGAGCCACCCAGGTGCCCTGAGGCGTAGTTGTAAAAAATCCCCTCAACAGACATCTCCCAGGACTTTGGTTGTCATGATCAGTTTGCACATCCCCCTGCCCCCCACACACTTCCCAGGGCAAAAGTACTGGTTACCTTAATTCTTAAACAGCCACTTGGAAATTTGGCTCACTCTGCCTATTTTGGGCATCTTTCTCCTCCTCATTTACAAAAGACCAGGTCTTGTAAGGAGAAGGAGGTATGAGGTGTCCGGGTAACAAGAACACTCTTCTGAATGAGGGAATCCATCACCTAGGTCTTATTTAAGGAACACATGATCCCAGGGAACCAGTACCAGATCAGCCTTCCCACATGAGACCTACTCCTCCCATGGTCCCTTCCACACCCTGTCGGGTCCTGGATGAGGCAGTGTGTGAGGCAGAGGTCTGTGGCCATCTCCTATCCTCTTGGCTCCCACTTCCTCCTCTCTGCAGGCCCCCAGCTGGGCTGGATGCAGAGTCTTGCAGATTCACCCTTGACCTTGGAGCAAGGGAATTCGGCTTGTGTTACCACTTGCCGGGAAATGGAAGGATGCTGAGCTGGATCAAACAACCGGCTCTTATTCCACCCCAAGGGTTTGAGCAAGGTGTGGAAGAGAACAGGCAGTTGAGCTGGCCTGTGTATCTTTACTGGTTTGTGGGAGATCGTAACATCTCCTTACTCACACCTGTTGGGATATCTCAATTCCTCAGTCACTTGATTCTTACCTCCTTTCCCATTTCTTCTGCTTACTGTCCGGCCACCCGGAGCTCCAGCAGGCTGACTTGGCTTCAAGGGCAGGAGGGGGCCTGGGGTGTGGGGATTGGGGCAGCTGGAGAGGGGTGGGTGTGGCTCCAGGTTCCCACCCCGGGTCTGACCGCACTGGCTCCATCACAGTGAGGTCGGCCACCGGCGACGGAGATGCGTTGTGTGTTACAGAAGAGGAGCTGGCTGGTGACGACGAGGACATGCCGACCTTCCCATGCACACCAGAGGGTAAGGGCCCTGGGGGCTGCCCTCTGATCTCCTTGTCCCCATCCCCAGGCTGGTGACTTATCGCTCCATATGGCTTCAAAATCCTGGCTGTCCTTTCTTCACTACTCCCTGGAGGGTAGAAAGGCAGATTTGCATCATCCTGGGTTATGCCGTGTAGATGATGTCAGAGTTTGACACAAGTGACATCTGTCTCCAGGGCTCCTCCTGAGACCAGTCAGGGACCTCTGCCATCTCCCCCAGGGCCTGTCCTCTAACTGGCCCAGAACTGTCCCCTTCACCATACCCCATGCCACCCAAGTGGCTCATGCCCTTGACCTTCAGGACCCACCTGATGGATAATGGATCATCTCAGAAACCAGTGCCACCTGAACTGTTCCTTAGAGGAGGGTTTCTGGGTGGGTTTCAGGATAGACTAGCATAGCTATTCTCAACCCATGCTGTATATTGTAATCACCCCAGGAAGCCCGTGACCAGCCCTCAGAAATTCTGATTCCTTTTGGTCTGGAGTATGAAAGGGGCATCAGGAGTTTTAAATGTTCCCAGTACTCATAAGGTGCAGCTAAAGTCAAATCTGCCTTAGAAATGTCACAACAGTTTCACAGTTGCATTCCCACTGGACCTTGGCCACCTGGCTTCCTTCTTCTTCCATACCAGGGACCCAGCCGGTGGGCTGGAACCGTTTGTTCCGTTTCCAGGAGAACTCCTTGTCACCTGAGACGTTTGGGGGCTGAGGGGTTTCCCAGGGTGTGTGACTGGTTGGCCCCATACTGAGGAATTCCACAAGAGGAGATCTTTCGAGGCTAAAGCCCAGAATATCCGAGGCACAGTGGGACACATTATACACCCAATGGTGACACAGGCCTGCTGCCCCATGTTGTGGACCATCATAAGGCCAATGTGTCAGGAAGAGGTGTTTCCCTACACCTTGGGCCCACTGATGTTGCCCTAAGAGAGAGGATGGCACTGATGGGGGTGCTCTTTGAAGACCCCAACTCTGGTCTCTTCTACTGCTAAAAGCTCGAGGACCTAGCGAGAACATGGTGAGATGGGCAGACATGAGAATGAGAACAACTCCCTTTCTGAGGCTGGTTTGAGAGGTGATGAGATAGGTTGGAGCGGGAACATGAACCTGGCGCTTCACCTGCAGCCTCAGCCACTGGTCTCCTTTGTCCCCCAGCAGACCGGCCGGGGCCCCGCTGCAGCCGCTGCCAGAAGAACCTGTCTTTGCACACATCGGTGCGGATTCTTTACCTCTTCCTGGCCCTGCTCCTAGTGGCCGTGGCCGTGCTGGCCTCCCTTGGTGAGTGCAGGTGCCCCGCAGCCTCGGGGTAGGCCAGCATCTTTCTGGCTGGGGAATCGTCATACTTGATTCAGACTTCAAAGACGGGCCTCTGATTTCCAGTCCGTAAGTAGTTGTTTGGCTTTGAGCAAGGCCCTTCCCCTCTCGGGACCTCTGTTTTGCTACTGGTAAGATGAGAGGACAGGACCAGCCCCGTGTTTCCCTGTTTCAGCTCCACGTTAGAATCACCTGGGAGCTTTGAAAAAATACTGGTGTGTGGGCCCCACCCCAGGTAATGTACATCCAGGGCTGAGATCCCTGGATCGGGCAATTTCGAAGCCCCCTCCAATGGTCTTGGTGAGTGTTTCTCAAAGTGAGATTGGATGCCTGCTTGCATCAAGGTCACCCTGAGTATTTGTTAAAATGCAAATTCCTGAGTCTCACTTGGACCTCACTTGTTAGAGCGGAGCCCTGCAGGTGAAGGCCAGGGACCTGGAGTGTGGTGGCTGTCGTACACAACACAGCTTGTACGGCTATGGTAGACAACCCAGATGATGGCGCACAGCCAGGTTCGGGCAACCTCTGCCTTCTGAATGCTAATAGATCATGCTAAACAGAGGGAAATGAATTTGACGGCTTCTTGCTGCAGTCCCAAGCCAGTCAGCTTCAGATTGAAAAAATCCAGATGTCTTTACTAAGGGAGGCCAATAGTTTGTTTGTTCCGATGGACTAGACACTGGGGACAAGGCCGGGACACGGGTGAGACAAGTGAGGAATGGGGGCGGCGGTGGGGGTGCCTCGGTCTAGGAGGCACCTGGCCCCGGGCCTGGCTAGAGATATTCAGCAACTGTCTTTCTTGGCTTGAGGACAAGAGGCCGGCATGCTAATGACACTAGACACTAGAATAGACACTCTAGTCCTGTCCCAGCAGGGCTGAAGGTTTTAACTACTCCAACAGAGGCCAAGCACCTACTTTGTACCAGGTGATAGGAACATCAAGGTCCCTCCCATTTCACCATCAGAGAGAGCCGTTCTCCATTTTGTCTGGGGGATTCTAACCCTTCAAAGAGCATTGAAAATACTGACGCCAGAGCTCCTCCCTCCAGATGAGTGAGATCATAATCTCTGGGTAGGACCCTGGCCTTGCTAGTCTATAGAAGTCCCTCGGGCGATTCCGGTGTGCAGCCAGGTTTGAGGACCATTGATTCAAGAACTTTCCAAGCGCCTCACCCCATCCAGCCCTACTTCTTTCTACTAAATCACTTCACGGGGCTTGGCTTCTCAGAAAGGGGCCCAGATCCTGCCAGGCGAGGAGGGGGGAGCTGCTGTCCACCATTATGAGGTAGCAAACTGGACGTCAGGGAACTTCCCAAGTCTGTTCCTGGCCAGGCCTTACAGGGCCTCAGCTCTCCACACCTGCAGGACCATGAATAAAGCTCCGGGAGCCACAGGCTTGAGCCCAGAGCGGAACTCAGGCGCCGACCCGCTTCAGAGGGTGTGGACAGTGATGGGGTGCCCACCAGGCGCCAGGTCCTATCGCATACATGATATCCACGAATCATCTCAACGAGCCCCGAAATGGGAGGCCGACCTCATTCCACATATCTGGGAAGGTGAAATGATTTGCCCTAAGATCCAGAGTGAATGAGCAGAAGATCATAATAATTTGGGAGTGAGGAGTGCATTCGGGGCATCCAGGGAGAACTTTAGGCTTCCTTTTTGTTTTTGCCTCCAGCCTGGGTCTCCCCAGTCCCTAGAGCAGAGCCAACACCATCCTGACCTGGTTGGTAGGTGCTCAATAATATTCGTCAAATGAATGACTAGAGATTTGTGAGTATATATGTGGACAGTCCTAGTCAAGGTATTATGGTCAGGACTGTGAATAAAGTCCAGAGTCTTGAGCAAAATCAGTCTTCCTCATAGGGACTTGGAAAATCCACTTACTTATTTAATTGGGTATCTGTTGCATGCATACTATAAGCCAAGAACTGTGTTAGGCACTGGGCGTATACTGCTTAATAAAACATAAGCCTTGTCTTTTCGGAGCTTATAATCTAGAGCAAGGTTTGGCAAACTTCCTGTAAAGGGCTAGGTAGTAAATATTTTAGGATTTACGGGCCACACATGGTCTTTGTCAAAACCACTCTGCCATCGTAAAGCCAGAGACAATACGTAAATGAATGGAGATGGCTTTGTTCCAACAAAGTGACCCTGGGTTAGATTCGGCATGCAGATCCTGCTTTGCCAACCCTAGGTCTAGAGCAATAACCTATGAACTTTTTTTGACCGTGTACCCCATCAGTAAAAAGTTTGATTTAAAATGCATCAAGGGCGCCTGGGTGGCTCAGTTGTTAAGCGTCTGCCTTCGGCTCGGGTCATGCTCCCGGGGTGCTGGGATCGAGCCCCGCATGGGGCTCCCTGGCTCAGCGGGAAGCCTGCTTCTCCTTCTGCTCCTCCCCCTGCTTGTGTTCCCTCTCTCACTGTCTCTCTCTGTCAAATAAATAAATAAAATCTTTAAGAAAAAATAAAATAAAATACATCAAAAAACTGGATGGGTTGATGAATGGATAAAAAGGTAAACTGGACAGATGTACAAGAAAGTAAATACAGTAAAATGTGGACTATAGAATGTAGACAGCAGATACACTACTACCTACTACCTACCTACAAGTAGGATAGTCACTGTCCAAGCCTTGATTACTGTGTTTGAAAATTTTTATACTTACATAATAGGAAAGAAAAAAATGATAATCTCACACCTGTAAAATATACCTATTTATTTATAAATTATATATGTGTACTTTTTAAGTATACATTAAAAGACATAATTGTGAAAGGATGAGAAAAAAATAAGATCTAAAAAGTAAGGAAAACAGTAAACAAATTAATATGTGATTACAAATCTTGAAATGCACAATGAAGAAATGAACAGGGTGAATTACATGAATGAGCCCTTGGCTATTGGCTTGGACGTAAGACTTTATAAAGCGTTAGGATAGGAATCCAAGTCACTCAGTCTCTCTACACCTCTGTTCCCCCCATCTATATAAGCAATTTTAACTTGGGGAAGGCTCCAATGGAATAATAAATACTATAAACTCTAGGGAACTGTTCCTAGGATCTCTCAACATGTCACTGCTAGTATTTAAGTCTCAACAGCTCTGAGATGTACAATGTTAATTTAAGGCCAGAGATTCCAAAAAAAAAATGGAATTTTGGAGCTGAGAAGAACATTAGAAGTCATCTAGCTTCATACTTTCCTTCTACAGATGATTCAGTCAAGCTGCAGAAAGACTAACTGACTTGCCTGAAGATACCCAACAAATCTGGGGCAAGTGTGGACCAGAAGTTGCATTCCCCAACTCTCCTGTTGGGGCTCTTTCCATCCCCCGGAACTTGCCTTCATAGGCTCTGTGGGGAGCATCTTGTCTACCCCGTCCTCTACTCTCACTTCCCCATCCAGCCAGGCGTTTGCTAGAGAAAGCCAGGGATCCTGCTACTGCCCAGATGTGCTCTAACCCCTGGCCGGCACTGACCCCTGAGAAGCTGGTATAAGCTGGGGTAAAATCTTTCCTAGGGGTCACTTTGGAACCCTGTGTCCAACTTCAAAAATATTAATATCCTTCGACCCATTAATTCTACTTCAAGCAATTTATCCTAAGAGAATAACCATATACACACACCCATCAAATATAAGGATTATTTCTAGGAACAAGTGTTACTCATATTTACGTATCAAGTTTTATTTGTAGGCTCAGAAGGGCCCCCCCCCACCACAAGGGATTTTTATATAATTGCTGAGTCGTTTATATAGAGTATGATACAGACATTAAAATTAATGATCTTAAAAGTGATTTAAACCTCAATAGGAAAACATCCATGACATGATACCAGTGAAGCAAAACGAAAGAAAATAAATGAGATATTCCATACATTCCAGGTTTCTGTTATTGTTTTCTAAAAAAGTATACATATATCCATGTAACTACAGAGTGGTTATGGAGATAAGTAAGAGTCTAAGAGATACACGAAGATATTGATGGCTATTATCTCTCAGTGATAGGATTAAGAATAATTTTTATATTCTTTTTGTGCTTTTTTTTCCCCTTAATTTTCCCTATTCTAGTCTAGCCTGTGGTCAGGTCCTAGTTTTAAAATCTGGAGGGGGATATATATGTACACACACACACACACACACATATATACACACAAGTGTATGTATACATACATGTAAACACTTAAGGGAGATATATAAAGAGATATAGATCTACCTAGATCTATAGATAGATGTAGATATATATTTTTAAGGAATGCATGACGAACTCTGGCCATAAGAAGCATCTTCCCTTACGACCACTGAAAAGCCCCATAGAAGGGTGAACGGTTTTGATGGCAGAGAGGTTGGTAAAAATAACTTCTTAGTAAATGATTGCCGTTTCTCTGAACTAACACCCTGCCCCAGTTTCTCATCTGTTTTCCCATACAGTTTTCAGGAAAGTGGACTCTCTCTCAGAAGACATCTCCCTGGCCCAGGCCATTTATGACAAGAAGCTTATGTCTATGCAGGAAAATCTCCAAGGACTGGGTAAGTGTCCAGCATCCAGGTGTGCTCACGAGTATGAAGGAAGACCAGTATTAATGGGGGAGGGGTAAGTGTCTCCCTCAGGCCATGGTGCCCTGGAGTAGGGCAGCCTTCACCAACCTTCCAGGCACAAGGGAAAGGCAGCTATGGCTCCCTTCCTCCCTGTCCACTCAGAGAGGGCTGCTGCCCTGGGATTCACCCAGCACTGGGGTCAGGGCTTCTGTGAGTGGTACGGATCTAGCCGGAGCCTACAGGTAGAGAAGGAACCCAAAGACACTCCAGTCCTCAGTCATTCTTATGTATCTGAGATTATTATTATTTTTTAAAGATTTATGTATTTATTTGAGAAAGAAAGCGCAAGCGCAAGCAGGGGGAGGGGCAGAGAGAGAGAGAGAGAGACAAGCAGACTCCCCGCTGAGCAGGGAGCCCAACCCAGGGCTTGATCCCAGGGCCCTGAGATCATAACCTGAGCCAAAATCAAGAGTCAGACTCTTAACCGACTGAGCCACCCAGCCACCCAGAAATTAATTTTAAGACCTTCCAAAGCCTCTTGGTAAGTCTACCCTACCCTACCCTACCCTGCCCTACCCTACCCTACCAGTTCATAATCCTCTTTATCTCCTGCTTTAACCAGGGACCTTCTCGTTCTGAGACTGAGACAGAAGGAGCCACAATAGAAAGTGTAGGGGTGGCCTGCCCTGACAGAAAGAGAAACTACTAGCTGAGTGATATTTGGCAAGCCTCTTCTCTGTGCCTCATTTCTTGACTGTCACAGGGAGAAATAATCCCCACACCATCTTTTCCCCATAAGTTTATCGACAACAAATGTAAAAATACTTGGAGAAATACTTAGATAAAGTGAAAATGGGTGGTTCTTGGCAACCTTAGAAAGTTGTGAAGATATATTCTCGAGAATTTGGTGGCGAGATGGAAAAAAATGTCCCCACTTCTACATTTCAGGTCAGAGTAAAGACATTTGGTAAAATAATATTTCATAGAGATGGTAAGGCTTTCCCAAAAAGGATTTCCTAGCAGGCCTAGGATAGGAAGAGGGATTGGGAAGCCACTTGACAATCCATTATGCTCTGAAATAGGTAAAGGAGTAAGTTTTGTCCTATGATCCTTCTGCAACTCAAAATGTTGTCTCTTTCCCCTGAAGATCTGAAAGCCCCAAACAACTGTTCCTTCTGCCACGAGGCTGGGCAGCTGGAGCAAGAGATCAGAAAACTGCAGGAGGAGCTGGAGGGAATTCAGAAGATGCTTCTGGCCCAGGAGGTGCAACTGGACCAGACCTCTCAGACCCACGAGTTGCTCTCCACCACCAGCAGTCAGATCTCCCAGGAGATGGGCAGTTGTTCATTCTCCATCCACCAAGTCAACCAGTCTCTGGGGCTCTTTCTTGCCCAGGTGAGAGGCTGGCAGGCCACCACAGCCGGCCTGGACCTCTCTCTGAAGGACCTCACCCAGGACTGCTATGATGTCAAGGCTACAGTCCACCAGATCAACTTCACCGTGGGGCAGACTTCGGAGTGGATCCACGGGATCCGGCGGAAGACTGACGAGGAGACCCTGACCCTCCAGAAGATTGTCACCGACTGGCAAAACTACACCCGGCTCTTCAGCACCCTGCGCACCACCTCAGCCAAGACCGGAGAAGCGGTCAAGAACATCCAGGCCACCCTGGGGGTCTCCTCCCAGCGCATCAGCCAGAATGCCGAGAGCATGCACGACTTGGTGCTGCAGGTCATGGGCCTGCAGCTGCAGCTGGATAACATCTCGTCCTTCCTGGACGACCACGAAGAGAACATGCACGATCTGCAATACCACACCCGCTATGCCCAGAACCGCACGGTGGAGAGGTTCGAGACACTAGAAGGACGCATGACTTCGCATGAGATCGAGATCAGCACCATCTTCACCAACATCAATGCCACCGACAATCACGTGCACAGCATGCTCAAGTACCTGGACGATGTGCGGCTCTCCTGCACGCTGGGCTTCCACACCCATGCCGAGGAGCTCTACTACCTGAATAAGTCTGTCTCCCTCATGCTGGGCACCACAGACCTGCTCCGGGAGCACTTCAGCCTGCTCAGTGCGCGGCTGGACTTCAATGTCCGCAACCTCTCCATGATCGTGGAGGAGATGAAGGCTGTGGACACGCAGCATGGAGAAATCCTTCAAAACGTCACCATCCTAAGAGGTAAGAGCCAGACTTGGGCCACACCTGCTATGGAGCTCTCAGAGGGCTGTGCTGATCTTGCCCGACACAGAAGTACCTGGTTTCAGGCAAAAGTCTTGGTAGGCTCATGCAATCCTGTAGCTGATGCCTAGGGCAACTGGAAGCTTTAAAACACAGTTGCTCCCCTTTATCTGTGGTTTCAATTTTCTCCTAATGAGGTATCCCCAGAAGGTCAATAGTAGCCTAATGCTATGTCACAACGGCTGCATCCTTCACCTCACTTCATCTCATCGCTTAGGCATTTTATCATCTTAGGTCATCACAAGAAGGGCAAATGCAGTACCATAGATATTTTGAGAGAGAGCAAGACAACATTCACGAAATGCCTAATTTATGTATTAAACTTTATCATAGGTAAGTATATATAGGAAAAAGCAAGCTATATAGGGGGGTCTTGGAACATATCCATCACGGATAAGGGAGGTCTACTGTACCTACAAACCTCTTTTGTAAAGGTGCTATGACTCATAACTTTGCCTGCCATACAAAACTGGATTTTCATACGTGGATTTGTTTGATTGGGTCCACACAGAGATATAGAGAGACCTCATCTTGGAAACTCTGTTTTCTCATTTTCTCCCTTCCACCCCATCACTGGGGTGCTCAGCCACCTGCCGCTTGGGATGTTCATTACTCTGATGTTCTCTTCTTCTCTCATCTCACCCCTGCATTAGTCAGGTTCTCCAGAAAAACAGAACCAATAAGAGAGAGAGAGAGAGAAATTATTTAAAAAATTTTCTCATGTAATTAGGGAGGCTGGCAAGTCCAAAATCTGCTCAACTGATGTTCGAGTTTGAGTCGGAAGGCCAGATGCTGCTGTAGAACAGGAAGAGATGATGGGGAGTTTGAAGGCCATCAGGCAGGAGAATTCTCTTTTACTTATGGGAGGGTCAGTCTTTGGTGCTATTCAGGTCTTCAACTGATTAGATGAGGCCCGCCACATTGAGGAGAACAATCTGCTTTACTCAGTACCAGTTTAAATGTTAGTCTCATCCATAAACACTCCTACAGAGACACCCAGAATAATGTTTGGCCAAATGTCTGGCCACTCGGTGGTCCAGTCAAGTTGACACATAAAATTAACCATCACAAGTCAACTTGGCACCCATACACATCTCCTTAAATAATACTTAATCCCCAAAAGGAGATACTAACAAGGTTACAGTTCTGCCTAATGCTCATGATGCGAGTATCCTGTGTACAACCAAAACCACACTAACCCCTTCCCCAGAAGAGAAGGTAAAATCCTGGAGGGATATTTACCTTTCCCTTTGATATCTCATAATTTATATACTATGACATAAAGTTAACAATACTGTGATATAAAGTCAATATATTTTATGTTTTATGTTACATGACAAGGGGATAAGAGAGGGAAGAAAGCAAAAATACTATATATATGTGTGTATATATATATATATACTTATTTATTTATTTATTTATTTATAACACAACAAGGAAGAAATACTCTTGACAAGGAGTACATGGTCATAGCTGGTATCTATAACTTCCTCCTTCCACTACCCATCTGTATTTTCTTTTCCCTTGGCAAGCACCTCAGCTGGTTGTTATTCTTTACCTGGTAGGGTGATCCAAACCTTCATTCCCAATCTAGGGTCCTTCTTAGATTAGATCGGGCCATTGTAGTTTTCCACTGAATTTATTTCAGGGCATGGTAGCACCGAGAGACACTCTTCGGGATCTTCTGAATTCCAGACATGCTCTCCCTTACCTCCGTTTTAGAGTAGTGGTCCAGTTTCTCCTTGGTAGTCAGGATCAGTCACCTCAGTCAGCACAATAACTTCTTCTTTGCCTATTAATTCAGAGGCGTGAGAAGCCCAAAGTGACTAGGCAGCAGTCTTAACTTCCAGTTCAATGGAGTCATTGTTGTATCTCCTGGCAGAAACATTCCTTCCTTTGGAACAAAGATCTCTAAGCCAGCAGAGCATGAGATTGTGGGAATAAGAAGCAAACATTTTGCTAGTGGGTCACTAGGGGTGATAGTGGGTGGTGTCTTTCCCATCTCCACCCCTTGATCCCAGTTCCAGTGAATCCTGGCTATCAGAGGAACAGCACCATATATACTGGATACTGATTCAGACCATATACAGCCCTGCAAGATATGGCCACCTAGCTATAGCCCTGGAACTGGGTCTTCAAAGGCCATTTCAATCTTCTGTCAAGCCAGCTGTTTCAAGATTGTGGGGACCATGGTAACACCAGGGAATTCCATGATCATGGGCCCATTGTTGAACTTCATTTGCTGTGAAGTGATTTCCTTGATCAGAAGCAATGCTACACTGGAATACCATGGAATACCACGATGGTGGATAATGCATTCTGCATGGTATTTTTTGGCACAAGCACTTCATGCAGGGAAGGCAAATGCATATCCAGAGTAAGTTTCTAATCCATCAGGAACAAAACATTGCCCCTTCCATGATGGAAGTGGTCCAGTGTAATTAACCTGCCACCAGGTAGCTGGCTGATCACCCTGTGGAATGGTGCCATATACTGGGGATTTGTTGGTGGTCTCTGCAGTTGAAGATTAGGCACTTGGCAGTAGCCATAGCCAGGTTGGCCTTGGTGACTGGAAGTCCATGTCGCTGACCCCATGCACAAAATCCATCCCTGTCATCGTGGCCACTTTGTTCATGAGCCCACTGGGTGGTGACAGGGGTGACAGAAGGCTGACTGGTATCCCACAGAATAAGTCATGCTATATCTACTTGACTATTAGAATCCTCCTCTGCTGAGCTCACCTTTTGGAGAACATTCACAGAGGACACAAATGTCTTCACATTTTTTTTGCCCCTACAGAGAGGACTCGCCACATACCTCTTCCCCAAAATTTCTTGTGACCAGTTTTCCAATTGTGTTTCTTCTAAGTCCCTGACCATCCAGCCAAACCATTGGCCACAGCCCATGAAGCAGGTTATAATCACACATCTGATAATTTCTTCTTCCGAGCAAGCACGATGGCCAGGTACACTGCCAGAAGTTCTGCCCATTGGGAAGGTGTTCAGTCACCACTGTCCTTCAGGGAAGTCCCTTCAAGTTGTAATGTAGCACCTGTCCACTTTCAAGTGATGCCTGCATATCATGCAGAACCAATTGTAAACTAGGTCAGAATCTTCTCTTCCTCTGTCAGCTGGTCATTGGTAACTCCCCATAATACCGTAGGTGCAGGCTAGGAGAGGAGGTAGTATAGTAGGAGTGGGGACCATGGGTATTTGGGCCACTTTATCCTGTAACTTACTTGTGCATTCAGGGCCTACTCAGGCCTGATTACATATATACCACTTCCATTGGATTATGGAATGTGGCTCTCTATGCCCAGCTTTATAACTTGGTGGGTCAGAAAGTACCCAGTTCAAGATGGGCAGCTCAGGTCTCATGGTAACTAGATGGTCCTTGGCTAGCATCTAGTCTCTACCCAAGCCCTATAATAGCCCAAGAGCTGTTTCTCAAAAGGAGGGTAGTGATCCACAGAGGATGGCATGGCTTTGCTCCAAAATCCTAAGGGTCTATAGTGCAGTTCACTTATAGGGATCTGCCAAATGCCCTAAACATCCCTATCTGCCACCACCACTTTAAGCACCATTGGGTCTGCTGGATCATATGGCCCAAGTGGCAAAGCAGCTTAACCAGCAGTCTGGACCTGTTTCAGAGCCTTCTCTTGTCCTGGGTCCCACTCAAAACCAGCATGCTTTGAGATCACTCAGTAAATGGGCTGGAGTAGCACACCCAAGTGAGGAATGTGTATGTTGCCTCCAAAATCCAAAGAGGCCCACTAGGTGTGCCTCTTTTTTAATTGTAGGAGGGGCCCAAATGGAACAGGTTATTCTTCACCTTAGAAGGGATATCTCAACATGCCCACATCACTGGACCACTAAAAATTTCACTGAGGTAAAAGGCCCTTGAATTTTTTTTTTAAATTTATTTGAGAGAGACAGAGAGAGAGAGAGAGCTTGAGTGGAGAGAGGGAGAAGGGGGCTCCCTGCTCAGCAGGGAGCCCAATGCAGGGCTCCATCCCAGGAACCTGAGATCATGACCTGAGCCGAAGGCAGACACTTAACGACTGAGCCACCCAGGCGCCCCAAAGACCCTTGAATTTTTGTCGTATTTATGTCCCCTGCTCTGACACATAAATGTCTCACAAAGAGCGAGCTACTACTTACTTGCTCGCTAGGTTCAATCAGTATAATATCATCAATGTAGTGCAGAGGAGAACAAGTTCCCTATGAACTGAAGTATGACATAGAGCTGGAGCATTGAGATCCCCTGAGGCAGGACAGTGACGGTGTATTGCTGGTCTTGCCAGCTGGAAGCAAACTGCTTGTGGTGGGCCTTATGAACAGGTATGGACAAAAAAGCATTTCCCAAATAAATAGCTGCATCCGGGGGATGTGTTAATTTTCTCACGCAATGAAGCTGCCTCTGGTACAGCAGCTACAGTTGGAATCCCAACCTGGTTCAGCTTAGGAAAATCCACTGTCATTCGCCAAGGTCCACCTGTCCTCTGCACTGGCCAAATTGGCAAATTTCAAGTTCTTGGTGGGGGCACTAATCTCTGTAGTCCCTCCAGGAATGCAGGATTGCATTCAGTTAACTATTTTCCTAGATAGAGTCAGTGCCTCTTGGCCTTTTCCACCATAATACCCCTTACTCAACAGATCAGGGAACCAATGTGAGATTCTGCCAGCTTCTTAGTATGTCTGTTCCAGTTATGCATTCCAGAACTGGGAAAACAACTACAGGGTGGATTCAGGGACCCACTGGGCCTCCTGTGAGATGGACCTCAGTTAAAACCCCATTGATTACCTGACCTCCATAAGCCCCTACTCTGACTGGAGGACCGCAGTGGTGTTTGGGTCTCCTGGAATCGGTGTCCGCTCAGAGCCAGTGTCTAACAGTCCCCGAAAGGGATGATTACTTTTCCCCAGTGTACAGTTATCCTG